ACTTGACATAAGCTGAAGTCATTTTGGAAGAAAGAACCTCAATTGAGAAAATCCCACCCCTACCCCAAACACACACACATTCCTAATTGGCCTATGTACAAACCTGTAGTGCATTTTCTTGATTAATGGTTGATGTGGGAGGGCCCAGCTCACTGTGGGTAGTACCACTCCTGGGCAGGTGGTTTTGGGGTATACAAGGAAGCAGGTTGAGCAAGCCATGAGGAACAAGTCAGTAGGCAGCACCCCTCCATAGCCTCTGTACCAGCTCCTGCCTCCAGGTTCCTGCCTGAACTCCCTCAATGATGGGCTACAATGTGGAACTGAAAACTGGAATCAAATCCTTTCTTTGCCAAGTTGTGTGTGGCCATGGTGTTTTTATCGTAGCATTAAAACCCTAAGACACGAGCCAGGCTGTGACCCACTGATCAGAGAGATAGGATCCCTGGCCTAGGGGGAAGGCTACCTCTCTCAGCACCCCCTGCTTGCAGATTCCAGATCTTCAACACTAGGAACAGAAACCCTGACCTCTGAGGGACCTCACGGTGTTCCCGGCCTTCCTCCTGTCCATCATACAGGGATCTCAGGCCTGTAAATCATGGATCCAACCAAGTTCCAAGGGTGTCACCTTCTTGGGTGAACTGAGAATTTGGAAGTGTCCTGCAAACTGGGATGCTCTGAGAAGCAGGCTCCCTAACACACACTAGCAGGGGCTAGGGAAGGAAACTGCCTTCGCCTCTCAGAACCTTCGGCTCCTCTTCCTCTTGAATGAAGGCTCTAGCACTGGGTTTTATGCTGGGATTCTTTAAAAAAAAAATAAAAGTATTTATTTTAATTTGTAAAATTATCTATATGCATAGGTTTGTGCATATGAGTGCAGATGCCCATGGAGGCAAGAAGACGGGTCCTCTGGAGCTGGAGGGACAGGGGTTGTGATCCATGTGACATGGATACTGGGGAACAGGACTGAGGTCCCCTGCAACAGAGTACATGCTGTAACCACTGAGCAATCTCGCCAGTCCTTCTCTGAGATTCTTCTTCTTACTCTGCATGATTGCTTGAGTCACCTAGCTTTCTTGGGGACTTAGAAGCGGGGGGGGGGATCAGGATGTCCCTAAGAAGTTCTGTCCCCTACCCTAGTCTGCCTCTGCAGGACCCACACTAAGGAGTAAGTGGCAGCAACCACTGCCAGCTAGCTCTGAAGGGGGAGTGTGGTGGCATGCCAAGGGCAAACCTAGTACTAGTGGGATGGCACCTGTTCTAACCCTGCTTGGTCACACCTACAGAGGGCCCATGCTTTTCCTCTCCTTGTACCTGGTGCTCACACGTTTCTTGTTCATTTCTCAGTATGGTTTTTCAGGAGCATTCCCTGGGAAACCACAGCTGTCCCCATGTCCTGAGCCCTCAGGGGCCAGGCTGTCCTAGGATATCCCAGACATTCTTAGACAAGACCCATCCCTCACACACACACACACACACACACACACACACACACACACACTGAGGCCTGCCAAAGGGGTACAGCTTCACAGGATACCATAGGAATGTCTGCCTGAGCCTTGGAACACCCTAGGCATTCCCTGGCCTGACCTTCTGCCTTTCTTTATATTTGGCTATAAATATAAAGATATGGACACATAGGACACTCGCTCATAACACTGCTCACCTTTTTTTTCCTATTTGGCACCTTTCTCTTCCATGTAGAATGAAGTACAGTGTGGGTTGGCTCACTGATGGGATCCTGGACTGGAGGAAAATGTTCCTAGGAGTCTTACAGGAAGGTCAGAACACTGCAGGAGTTTCTGAGCTCTCCCCGACAAGAGCTTTCCTTTACATTCTGAAAGCATCCCCCACTGTCTGCCTGCAGCCAAGCAATGGGATTACTTTATTCACTCTGGCTCCAAGGTGACACTTCACTATATTAAACAAGAGACAGCCTCCTTTGAAGGCGTCCATCCACATCCACCCCGACACCACCCACGGCCAGCCACCACTGCTTCTGACCTGAAGGCCTGGTTGCTGTTCACAAAGAAAGATTTTATGCATGGGAGAGAGAGACAGAGGCAGAGAAACAGAGACAGAGACAGAGAGCTAGAGACAGGGACACACACACACACAGAGAGAGAGAGAGAGAGAGAGAGAGAGAGAGAGAGAGAGAGACAGACAGACAGACAGACAGACAGACACAGAGACAGAGACAGAGACAGAGACAGAGACAGAGACAGACAGAGACAGAGACAGAGACAGAGACAGAGACAGAGAGACAGAAACAAGGACTGTAATCTCTGACTGATTACAGAGAGGAGGGAGGGCCTTCCTCAGAGGGACCCAATTGCCAATTTTAGAAGCAGCAATAGTGGGCAATTCTGCCTCACCCAGTTCACCACTGAGGGCAGTGAGGGGAGTCCCCTAAGGCTTAGTTCCTCAAGGAGAATACATCCACCAGAACCTTTCACCCCAGTATTTATCAACCCTACACTCTGTGAAAGATATTGGGATTTGGTTTTCTTCTGAGAATAAGAGAAAGATCTAGAAAACAGAGCAAGTAAGTAGGAGGGACAATTTACTGTGAGGGTACAGTCTATGAGTAGATGGCCTGCCACACACAGAGAGCAGCCTGTGTCTGTCTCTTAGCCAGGCCTTCCCTTTAGGAAAGGGAACTGGTTCATGCAATAGAAGAGAAGGACACAGGGTTCTCCTACATCCCTCATCAGCCCTGGTCCCTGGGTGCCACCCTTACTCCCCGGCACTGTTTCTGCAAGGTACCAGCACATCTGCAGCACCCACACACCTGAAAGAAGGTGTTGACTTAATAATATGGGAACACACAGCCCACTTGCTCACCCCATGCCCCTGCCAGTCTTCTGAGAGGAGGTTCTTTCCTAACAGCAAATCTATCACTGAAAGGTCCAACTGTAACTCGTGTGTGGGGCCCACAAGGGACATGGTTCTCAGCCTTGCCTAAAGTCCTATCCCATGACCTACAGCCCCCTACCTCAGCCCAGACCTCCATCATGAAACTCAGAGGCTAACCCGTCCTTTCCATTATGCTAGTCTAAACCTTAGCTTGTTCTCTCATGGAACTTTCAGCACTACCACTGGAGGATTCCTGGGCAAACTGGTCACCATAGCATCATTTTCCCTTAACTCTTTCTGAGCCTAACAGGTGGGTCCCATGCATACAACCAACCTTATTGAGTCCCCCATCCTATGCCATGTTCCCTGTACTTTGTGTTTCAGAGGGAACTGTTTTACTCTTGTATTTCAGACATAGCGCTTATGGATCCAAAGACACCATATGCCACCCCACAATCCTTGGGGATCAAGCCCTCTTCCTGACCTGACCTCACAAGAGTCTGTCTTCTTGACCTCTCTACTCCCCCCCTCAGGTATTGCAGGCATTGTCACCCCATCTCTGAGTCCAATCGTGAGGCCCCAGAGCAACCTTGAACTCCAAGCCAAAGCATTTCCATGGATGGATCAAGAAAAACAGCTGGGCTGCCTGCCATCTCATAGCTGGGGTCCAAGTGACTGTCCCCAGGCCTCCCACAGACCCTCACCTCACCCATTGTGTCCCCTCCCGGGGTTTTGCACCCCAACTGTCACAGACTCCATTCTCTTTGTGTAAACATCTTAATTACATCTTTAATGCTCTCACACGTGGAGATGCTGCGAGTTAAATTACAGCCCTGTGCATCCTAAATTACTCACAGCCCTCCAGTTGCTCAAGTGCTAACATATTTATAGCATCTAGAGGCAGGGATAAAACCAGAGCCATCCCCATGGGATCCTCCTAGCCCCTCACCTCCTGACATATGGTATCTGCCCAATAGCATATGTACCACCCCCGCATTCCCTCTAGCCAGCAGAGGACAGCGATGCTGGTGAAGGAGGGACACGCCTCTGTGCATGCTCGTGTGTGAGCCCCAGTGTAGAAAACTGTGCTGTCTGGGTGATCTCCTCTGCCCAGAGGCCCCTGGTATCAGCGTCGCACCTCTAAGACGTAGAGGGACACCAACGGCAGAGACTCCCTTCCACATTCCATGGACACTGAGTGACCCTTCCTGCATATAAGGTGGAAGGGAAAAACTAAAACCAGACTGGGTTTCTCAGGTCTTTTCCTCAAAGGGCGTTGTTCCCTTCCAGGCAACCATAACTTTTCCTGCTAGCTTCTGACCTGAGGCTGCCCTTACACCAAAGGCTTCTCCCAGAACCCCATGCTGGATGGGAGCCATTTCCAGAAGCAGATCAGACCAGCTTTTAGAGCCCACTGAAGAAACACAGCGGACAGAGGAGCCCAGCCTTGTCTCTCTCTTCCGTGTAGCCCTGAGCACTGAGGGAGAGGAAGCAGCCTACGACGGCGCTCCACTCCATACCACATATCACAGGGTGGGAGTCGGCTTGCAAGCTGGAGCCGATGCAGAGGGCCTCAGTCTTACTCTTATGCTGGAACAGGCACATGTCTGTGTGCAGTCTACTCGTGCACATGCATGAAGCCTTCCTCCATGTCTGGGGGGAGTTGCACCTTTCCATCCCAGGCTCCCGATGCCATCTCCCTCAGCTACCTTGGTTGCCAGTGGTTTGTGGCTGGGAAACTTCATGCTCACCCACTCACCATAATATCCTAACCATGGACAGCTTCTGGGTTTGTGTAACCCTTTTCGGCCATCTACTGGGCATTTCCAGCTCTGTCCCTGGACCTCCTGGGCCTACAAATGGTGCTGCCCTAGTTGAATGTGGTGGCCACGCCTTTCATCCCTGCCGAGCTTGCTGTAAAAGCAAGAGGAGCTGAGCTAAATCACAAGCACCACACAAAACCCAGACAAGGCACCATGCCTGTTGCCCCTTTAAAAACAGTAGAGCCTGGCATTAGTGATTCACACCTTTGATCCCGGCACTCGGGAGGCAGAGGCAGGTGGATCTCTTGAGTTGGAGGCCAGCCTGGTCTACACAGCAAGTTCCAGGCCAGCCAGGACCCTGTCTCAAAAAACAAACAACCAAACAAATGTCTCCAAAAGTTGTTACCCTGCTTTGTCCCTGTCATCTGGGGGTTGGTTTACATCTCTCTGCCCTAGAGGAGGCTCCAGGCTAAAAAAGAAAAAAAAAAAAAAAAAGACAATCCTAGATAGAGGGGAGCCTGCCTGTTTTCTTCCTTGCTCCTCAAGCTTGTGCCCCTCCTCCCCATCAGAGAAGCAGACCTTGCTGTGAGGGTTTTTGGCCAGGAAGCCAGCAGTGGCTCTTTGCCTTCCTGAATGAGGGCTGCCTTCTGTGCCAGGGCCAGCGGTTCAGGAGAAGTCAGTGGCCAGATGGCTAGCCTAGTCAGAGCTCTCTCTTCAAGCCTGAGAGTCGGTGGGTGGGACCTCGGCAGAGCTGGGGTCTGTTGCAGCCCTTTCCTGTCTTGTGGTGGCGATGGCTCAGGTCCTGAGAGTAGGTCTTGACAGTCAGGAAGTGGGCAGCACGGCTGGCACTGTGGCAGGTGTCTTGTCAGAGGTCCAGGCCTGTTCTCAGGCCACTCACGCGTGGATGGCATTGGCTACATCAGTAAACACCAGCCTGCTAGGCCTCTGCAGTGGGCCTTGGGAAGGGAGAGTGCTCTGCAGGGAGACAGGCAGGGGCATCAGAAACCTTGACCAAAGCCAGTCTCTGGTCCAGTTGCTTCCACCCTCGTTTTCTGGTACCTGCTTTTGCTTGACATCAGCTATGCCTTCTGCCTAGAATGCCCTTCCACCAAGCTCAGTCTAGAAATGCGACCTGGCTCCAAAGACTCCTCCCTCTCCCAAGCTATTCCCAGCTTGCCCTGTCACCGTGGCAGCACTTACTAAGGGCTTAGTATTGAATTAATCATGCATGTATTCCTTTCTGCCAGCAGGAAGATCTCACCTCTGGCCCTCTTCCCTCAGGACAGGGGCAAACATAAGGCTGGATCAAGGACAGGCCCTAACCCTTGTGGTACTCTGGCATTTGAGGGTTTGGAAGAGTGGTAGCAGTCAGGTTGCTGACAGGATAAGGGCATGGGTGAGGAGGTGTGTTTGGCTTGGGTCTCCAGTGCCCCAGATTATCAGGGACTAGGATTCGGCAGCCTACTCAGAGGTGCCTCTGCTGAACCCACTCACAACTCACTCAGGTTCATGGATCCTCATGGACTAAAGAAACCTGAGTCCTTGCCTTTAGTTTTTTGTTGTTGTTGTTGTTTGTTTTTCTGCTTTCCCAACTAGTACATGAGGGTTCACAGGACAAGACTTAGGGTTTCCATATGTAGATGAGAAAACTAGGCTCAGTGATCCAACTGGGCCTCCAAGATCTACAGGCTGTCAGACGCCAGCCAGGCTGGATCCCACAAGGCCTGGCTTTGCACAGTGAGTCTGTGAGGGCCATAGAACAATTCCAGTAGTTTCTAAACAAATATGAAGAGACCCATATACTCAAAGCTGCCACCTCAGCAACTGGCAGGGGCTGGGAAAATGTATGGAAGGTGGGTTGAAAGAGACAGGACAGCCCCAGGGTAGGTGGGAAAGCTGGCCAATGCCCACCTTGCCCTGTGTGGCCTGCAGGGAGGCGGCAGCCTGGATGGAGGCCGCATCTCGCCCATGTTCCAGCAGCTCCTGCTCCAGTTCATCTTGCTCCTCCGTGGGGTCAAAGTTGTACATAGGCATGAGCTGATGGCGCAGCTTCTCCAGCCTGGGGGAGGACAGAGGCTGTTTGGGGGTAGGACAGAGTCTTCCCCCTTCAGTCCTGGTGGCTAAGGGAGCCACACGCCACGTTTAAGGTACCCTAAGTCTTCCCTCAGGATTCGTTGACAGACGGTACCAATATGACTCTCAGACAGGTGGCCTTAGAATGATCAACTAGCCATTCCTGCGTCTGGCTATAGGATCTACGGGGGTTACTTGGGCCAGGATTCTACTGCAATCCCAGTCTCTATGGACTGAGGCAGAGGAAGAGAGTCAGTGACAGTCAGCTTAAGACAGCAGGGCAAGGGTAGCTGGGTGGTGATGACTCCTACCCTCCTTTTCTTTTCCCCACACCCTATACCAGGGTTACGCCTGTTTCCTCAGAATCTACATACCTGCATGCCTGTGTGTGGAAAGTGTGCATCCCTAATCATGAGTGGGCAGAAGAGGCTTTGATCTCCATCCCCCCCACACACACCCAGGGAGAGGAGCCTCAGTGCTGGGCCTCTTTCTCCTTCTCCACTTGTATCCCCTGGATCCCAGCCCAGCCCCTCCTACAGGCTAAAGCTGACTGGGGAATTACCTCTTCTTCTTCCTGATGTATAAAACCTGCAAGAGAAGGAACAGCATCAGATGGTGAGAAACGGAGATTCCCACCAGCCCAGCATTCCCTCGTGGTGGGGCAACTGTAGAGGATGAAAAGTGGAACCCTTGTGGGTCCCCGCCCCATACAGACATCCTTCAAGTGTGTGTCACATTCGCTCCATCCCTTGCCTCGATAAGGTCTCGCTATGGAGCCCAGTCTTGCCTAGAATTCCCTATGCAGTCTGGGCTGGCTTTGAACTCCCCACCCTTCTACTTAAGTCTCTGAGAGCTAGAGGTACAGGCCTGCACACTCGCACCTGGCTGCTTTGATATCTTCAGATACCAGCAGATCCAAGACTGAGTCTGGAGACCTTGGAGATGGGGCCAGGCACAGGAAAACTAGTTAGGCCTGTCTGGAATGGACTGTTTCCACTCTCCAAATCCTGACTAACCACCCACTCAGCATCTGCCTGAGACTCCTAAGTGCTGAAGGGGGAAGGGAGAACTTCGGCATGTCCCTTCCCCTCAATTCTCACTGAAGCCACCTACCGGCAAAATGAGCAGCAGATCAACCCCAGCCAGGCTCCACGCAGTACTCTGCACATCTGAGCCCCAGGGTTACCCCTCAGAACTCTGATGCTAAGGAATCCTAAGAAAGTCCCTGGGTCCCTTCCTTCCTTGTCCAGACACAAAAGTACAGGGTTGACCACCAGATACTATAGAACTCACCAGTGGGAGTGGGAAGTCTTGGTACCAAGCACCAATGAGGTAGAAGGTAGGGATATTTGGGAGCTCACGCCCAAGCAGGGACTCCAAGGACTACTGCCACTATCTGCTCTTCCTCAAACCAAAAAATTTTGAATATTAAGAATATGACAGCCGGGCGTTGGTGGCACACGCCTTTAATCCCAGCACTCGGGAGGCAGAGGCAGGCAGATCTCTGTGAGTTCGAGACCAGGCTGGTCCACAAGAGCTAGTTCCAGGACAGTTAGTACCACATAATAAGATCTTGTCTCGAAAAACAAAAATAAACAAACAAGTAAACCAACAAAAAGAATATGACAGCTTCTGCTTGGGGAAACCCACGTCCTACAGTTTGTCCTAATGTCCTATGGGTCTCACAACTTTTGTAACCAACTCATAGCTTGAATCTGTTTAATTCCCAATCTGGCAGAGACCTTTCCCCCATATGATCTCAAGTGGAAAAGAAGCTCAAGTGTCCCCAGCTCATCCACCTGCTCCAGGGAGTGACTCCGTGCTATCCTATAGGTAGATGGAAGAGAAGCTCAGGTCTCTGAGTCATTCCTAGCCCCCTTCCACCCTGAGCTCCAGCCACAGTACCCTGCTCCTGCACCTTGGCCTCATGGCTCTTGCTCCAAATCTCCCTCATCCCCTGAGGCCTGTGACTCAGGATAATCTCGGGAGAAGCCAGCCAGAAACTCCATCCAGCGCACATGCTTTTGCCCTGCGGCCACTCTGCCTCAGCTGAGTTCACACTTCCACTTTCATTCCAAATCTCTCTGCCTCTCACTGTCCAGCCCCGTGTCTCCCAGGGAGTGCTCTGCTGCTGTCTGTACTAGGCTCTTTTCACACGCCTATGTGAGGCATGAGGCTGGCACCCACTCCTCCATGTGTCCGTGGCATGGCTCAAGGCTGGCACAAGGGGGAAGGAAGAGGCACTCAGGACATTTCTAGAAGTCTTCACCTTCTGCCCTTCTACCTTGGGTGGAAAGGTCATCCACTGACCTGAATGTCCCTTGGGGACAAAGAGCAAGGCAGCCTTATTAAATTCCTATGTCAAAATCTTTTGCTGAGAATTGAGCAGACTCTAAGGCATTTGTCCCCGAGGTTAGGGTGTCTCAGGCTGATTTAGCCACCACAGCCATTCTTCCTCATTCCTGCCCCAGGAAAGCTTCCTGGCTTCCCTCTGTGTGTGATGCATCCTGGCCCTACTTGCTGGCCAGTAGTTGTTCCCTGGCATCCATCCGGAGCCTGCCGGGCCCATATGGCAAATCTAGTTTAACACTAGCTCTAGCCAGGCCTTGGATGACTATCCCTGTCTTTTGTGTGTGTGTGGGGGCATGTAAGTGTGTGTGGGGGCATGTGAGTGTGTGTGTGTTTTGTGTGAGTGAGTGTGTACGTGCGTGAGTGTGTGTGTTGTTTGTTTTTAGCCCAGCGCTGAAGACTAAACCTAGGACTTTGTACCTGCTACGCATGCCCCGATCTACATCCCCAGTGCCCCTGTCCAGCCTTGTTTGTCAGATCCATGTGCTCCTGAGCTTAAGGTTAGCCATCCATCGCCTGCAAAGGACAGTGGGCAGAATGCCACTATTACTAGGCCTTCTAGGGGACTCCAGGTGCACTCCACTTTCCTTAGTCTTAACTTGTACAATCCCTCCTAGTGGCTCTTTAGTGGCATTCTTTGTGTCTGTCACTGCTGAAGGATACTTACAATGTTCTAGCTCACTTTTGTTCTGATGGCTACCTGCCCCTTCTTGTGACAATGAGGCCAGGTTCCTACCTGGAGTCAGAGTTCTCATGTTTCTTCCCAGCTGTCTCTGACCACCCAGCCCACAGAAAACCCCTTGCCTATTAACCCATTCTTCATAAGAAACACAAGCCAGGACCTCTCTTGTCTCTTCCAGCCCGGTTGTGTCCCAAGGGTAAAGAAGGATAGTCAGTAAATAATTGCCAAAAGAATGCGTAAATGAACTGCCATGAATACAGCATCCCATCCAGTTCTGCAGCCCATAATATAGCCCAACCACATCTGGCCTTGAAAGTCCTACACTCCTTTGCTTCACTGCCCTGTTTGCTGTTCACAGAACCTCCCACCTGCTTCAAAAACCTGCCTATCAAGATCCTGTGTCTTGACGCCCTTCTCAATCCCAATCTTATATGCCGGAGCTCAAAACACCATGTATTTCTGGCTCTTCCCAGGAGAGTTGCTTATCTGGGTCCCAGTAAATAAATATTGGGGGGGGGGGCAATGGGAAGGAATTGCATTATCCTTAATAGACAGTTGGCTTCTAATTAGGTTGTCTGTAAGTCTAAATACTAATCACCCTCCCCACAAAAGACAGCCTTTTGGGCCTTCTTCAGCTAGCCCCAGCTCTCACCATGGCCACAGCCAAGCCAATCACTGTGATGATGCCGAAAGACAGAAGCATGGTACCCACACCAACCGCACCACCTGCCATGTCAGGGATTCTGGTGCCATTGAAGCTTGTGGTTTCTGGGCTGAGGGTGGTGGTCTCTGTGGTAGACCCTTCGGTGGCAGGCTCCAAGTCAGGCTCAGTGGTGGGTGGGTGGCCGCTGAACCAGCTCCGAGTAGCTGGGACCCTGGAGTCCATGCTGATGCTGGGGACTGAAGTGAGGAGTGTCCAAGGCTGTAGCTCCCACCACTGTGATGACCACCAGCAGGAGACCCTGCTTCCCTGGGTTCTAGAAAGGCAAGAATAAAAGCAAGAGTTACCACTCAGGGCATGGCCAGAGGTAAATTCCTCGAGAATCTGAAGGCACTGAGGAAATAAAGGCTTCAAGACGGACCCAAATCAAATTCTGGGAATATGTGGGCCCAGGCTTTGCCTCTGGTTCCCTTAAGGATGTAGGGACATGGAAACATGATTATATTGATCATACATGGAAGATGGGAGGAGAAGCAGATGGCCTGAAAGGAAAAGTCTCCCCCCTGCACAAATATCTCTGCACTCTCTCTCCTGTTCCTACCTCCTCACTCCTACACCCCACACGTCTCTCATCCTGCTTGGGAAAAACAAAACAAAACAAAAAACCAAAACTTGCAACCCTTTCCTTCCTTGAAGGGAAACACTTGCCTAAGATTCAGACAGACCCGATTTTGAATCCTGGGGTCACTGGATAATCCCAGGCAAATCACTACTTTTCTCTGTGGTTAGTTTTTTTTCCAAAGTGGAAAATGTTAAGAGCAACCCCATGAAAAAAAAAAAGAGAGAGCAACCCCACGATGTTGTAAGGTTAGTGGCATGTTAGAATGAACAACGGGTGGGGGGGACTTAGCTGAGCACAGGGCCTGTCCACAGAAGGCACCCAGTCAAAGTTCCAAATCCCCATCACTAGCACCAACAAGCCAGGAGGAGGAAGGCACAGGAGTCACTGGACCTGTGTGACCCAGGCAGTGGTTGGGGCTAAGTTGGGGCTGGTGAGGAGACACCACCACAAGACAGGAAGGATAGACTGAGCTAGATCCTGTGGCAGGGAAGTGGGCAGGGGTGCTCATTGACCCACCTCCTTCCACTCCTAGAAGTAAGTTACATCTGAAAAGGCAGTAAATGGAATACCTATTTTGAAACGACTTCTCCCGTTTCCTTCCTAGTTTGGAAGCAGAGGGTGGGAGACCAACCACCTAGCCCTGTGGGTCTTAGGTAAAGCAGGATGGGAAGGAGTCCTAGCACTGGTTCAGAAGAGCAGACTTAGAAAGAAAGGACCCTTAGCTTATGGTTGCATACATGTTTCTCTATGTGGCTCATAGGTACATATGGGATGCCTCCTCTTTCAGGTACAACATTATTTGTGAGAGGCGTGCACATATCCACCATGGTCCCTTAGTTAGGAACAAAACTGGCAAGAGGGTCATGCATGGAGTCGACTTACTCCTTCCTGTCCTTTCCAGCTTGGCTCAGCAAGAAGTCTCAGGTTCACTTCTGGGCTCTGCCACTGAGCCCAGCCATGACCTTGGATCAGACCCTTAACTTGTACTGAGTCTCGGTTTATTAGGAGCCAAAGGGAGAGAAGGCATCCTGCTGACTATTTTCTTGGCCTGCCTCGGGGTCCAAAGGGGAAGGGAAGAAAACTGGGGTGAAAGTGGTGGGCACCGTGACCTCCAAGAAGCTGCATGCCATTCTCCATCAGGTCTCTCAGTCCTCCCTGCCTCAGTCCCCACGCCCGCCTCCACGACCCTGTGATTCCTCCATTCTTGCTCAGAAGCAGCGGATCTCAGGCACTTACTTAATCCTCTCCGGGACGCGGAGCTCAGTCTGAGACTCTAAGGGTGGTAGCGACGGACGGGCGGGAGGCGTGGGCAAGGGGGAACACCCAGGCCTGGGCGTTGGGGGTGACAGGTCCGACCCAAGGTCCTCCTGGGATCTGCTAGTATTTCAGCCTGTGCCGGCTGACAGCCTGAGATAAGGTGGGCTGGGCCGGGACCATGGAGGGGGTGGGGCTGGGATGAGCAGCCTCGGGGGATCCCCAGGAGCCCGAGTGCCTTGCTCCCGGCCCCCTCCGCACCTCCGGGCCCTGATTGGTTGCCAGGCCTAAAACCTAACCAGCATTGGCCCACTCGCCTGTCGCTCGAATATAGCTCCGCCCCCAGCGGGCGATGGGAGCCGAAACCCGACTACCAAAAGAGAATTTCAGAGGATACCTCTGACCCTGGTGACCTGCCGGAAGTTGGGCCGTGGACCGTAGGTGACCAGACCCTTTCTGGACCAGAATTCGGGCTCCTGGCCAGCTCCGCCCGCACTGGGACAGATTTGTAAACCAAAAATGCATAAGTACAGAGGTTTGGTGAGAGCATTAGACTCTGTGTCTTTGAAACCTAAATTGAACTCTGGCTTGATCCTCTACTGAGCCTACGTCCTTGAACAGCAAATTGCTTCTCTTCCCGTTGTCTCCACTTACTGCTTAGATAGGAACCCTGATAAAAAGGCTTTTTGGTAATGTTTTCGTAAATGACTACAACTATGGGGCTATAAATAGTGAATCTTCAGTCCAGAGATGTTGGAAGCAGAATGGAATTATCTGAGTGGCATTATAATTGTGTGCCCCGACCCAAGCAAACCTACCTATACCCCTCATAATAGTTTTTATCCACAATAAAATTCATCTCAGGACAGAGGCACGAATTCCCTCCACTCCAGAGTTATATCCCCAGTCCTTTAAAACTATGTCCCCCTCTTCTGTCCCCCAGACAAGGTATCACACTGTTGTCCAGGATGGCCTGATACTCACCACGTAGCCCAGTCTGGCCTTGAACCAAGGCAATCCTCCACTTCCTGGGTACTGGGATTTTTGAATTTTAATGTGTAAGGATGTTTTGTCTGCATGTGTATCTGTGCACCATGTGTGTGCCTGGTGCCTGAGGAAGCCAGAAGAGGGCATTGAATCCTCTGGTACTGGAGTTATAGACTTCTGTTAGCCTCTGTGTGAGTACTGAGAATTGAGCCTCGGTCCTCTAGAAAAGCAGCCAGTGCTCTTATCTGTCTGGTGGCTGCCTGCCTACCTGCCTGCCTGGCCCTGGGCACCCCTCTTTCTTTCTCCCTCATTCTCTTTCGAGCCTAGATTCTTTCTCTACTTATTCTCTCTGGCGCCAACCTCTAGTTATCTCTCTCCTGCCTAGCTATTGGCCGTTCAGCTATTTATTAGACCAATCAGGTGACTTAGGCAGGCAAGGTGAAACACATCTTTACATAGTTAAACAAATGAGGAACATACAAAAGCAACACACCTTCACACAGTTAAACACATGCAACATATCTTTACATAGTTAAACAATTATTCTGCAACACACCTTAGTTAAACAAATATTCTATTCCACAACACAGCCCCCCTCCCTTCTCCAGTTTTCTATTTTTTACTTTTGTGAAACAAGGTTTCATGTAGCAAGTCTGGCCTTGAAAGATGAGCCAGAAGGTCTCTGTGCCCCACACCCCCCTGCTTGCATTTATAAGTGTGTATCACCATATCCCATTTATGGGAATCAAACCCAGAGTTTTGTGTATGTTAGATGAGCACATCAACAACTGAGCTACCGCATGGGCTATCTTTTATTTAATTTTTTTGTTTTATTTCTCAAAATGATGTATATGTGTGTTTGGGCAGATATATGTGTGAGTACAGGTGCGCACTGAGGCCACCTTTCTGGGTGCTTGAGACTGAAGCCCATTCCTCTGCAAGAGCAATATGTCCTCCTAACCGCTCAACCATCTCTTCAAGGTTCCCTCCCACCTTTTTAATTTTGAGACTGGTTTTTACTAAATTACCCAGGCTGGCCTTGAACTTATGATCCTCTTGCTTCAGCCTCTCCAGTACCTGTGTTTACATGACTGAGCAACCATGTCCTGCAAATGCTATGAATTTTATAAAAGGTGTAACTAAAGCCTAGAAAGGCCTGGGCACTTAAGTTAAACAACGAGTTGCTAACAAAACAGGGTTCAAATCCGGTTTTCCAGTATTCTCTTTTCTGCTATCTGGTCCAAACTTTGTGTGCATGCGAGGTCAAGAGGGTCCTTAAGTACCTATTCCCTTCCCGAAAGCAGAGATGCCCCCAAACACTGGAACCCAACGGCTAGACTCAGCTTGCATCCTTTCTCCCGATCTAGCCTGGCTCTGAAACACAGCGCACATGAGTGACACCCTTGCGGTTTGTTTCTGCCCATCCACCTCCACGGCTGGATATGTAAACGTGTGCTTCAAGCAATCATTGCAGGCTGGAGCCACAACTCTGCTGCGGCCTTAAGGAAGACTCGTGGGTCTGGAACCCTACAGAGCACCCCGCACTTTCCCCGGAGTGGGGCTGCGGGTGGGTGCCGGTCCGCTCAGCCTCCCCGCCTTCCCGCAATCTTCAAAGGGGCAATCCTTCCGCCGCGGGAACCCTAGATCAGGGAGACGTGGTGCACCCGAGCGCTTTCTCAACTGCACTGAGGCGGAAGCAAGGTACTGAGGGAGTGCAATGCAGGCTACGCACATCCGGGGGCCGACCGTGGGGCTGTTTCCCGGTGCCGGTGTGTAGGTAGGGTAAGCGTGCATTCCCGTGATCAGCTATGCACCGGAGGTGGAGATCGGGATGGGAATGCATGGACGGCAACGTTGCCTTTTGAGGCCAGGCCGGTCCTGTCCGTCACAGTCGGGGGAAACAGACTCGGAGAGAGGGCACACTTACCTGAGTCGTTGATAATGCCCTTGCGGATTTGGGATGGAGGTTGTGTCGGGACTTCGAGCTTTGCTTTCTTCCGGAACTGGGTACAAGTTGCTTCCTTCTGGAGCCCTGTCCGCGAGGCTGTAGTGGTTAGGACGTCCCAGCAGATGTTAGTGTGGACCTTACTTAGTTTGCTTGTTATGGTAACTTAAGGGTAACACTTAATTTTTCAGCTTTCAACTTATGCTAATGTCTGTGGTTATGGGTTAAATTAGAGGAAGCAAAAATCAGCTTCCAAACAATGGCGGTGCACACAGAATGTCAGAAGCAAAGCTCCCAAGCACGACAGCCGCCTGCCATCCATTAGTGAGTCCCTGGTGTGTGGTGTTCTGTCTTCCAGGCCCGTGACATCCCTTGGTCAAGTACCAGTCACCATAGAGCTGGTGTTATTTCCCCCATATTATGGATGCTCGAAATGGAAGTCAGAAACAATGATTTGACTGAGCTCACACACTGGGGTCTGACATATGCCCTACGCCTAAACCACTCTACCAATTCAACCTACTTCAACTGAAAACAAACAAACAAACAAACAAACAACAAAAACCCCATCCAAGACAAGAAGAAATCAAATGGGTGGTTGAGGGTGTGAATATAGTCTAGGAGGTGACAGACTAAAAGCACACTCTTTTCAGGCAAAATTGAGTCTCTCCACATTCTCCTTTAGGGTGACAACAACATCTGAGAAACAAAACACTGGAGAGTCAGAGCCTGTGACTGATCCTTCTGCACCCAGCCCAGCCCAGCCCAGCCCAGGGCTCACTCCCAGCAGCCCCCTCAATGACTGGCATCACAAGGGAGACTTAGGAACTTGCAAACTTTTCTCCAAGACATGAAACTTTGGGGGCGAATACTTTGGACCCTCCTGTCTGGTCCCAGGGGAAGGAGGGGAGCCCCCCAGGGCTGGGCCCTCAGCTCATGGAAGTCTCATTCATCTCTGCCTGGGGTGTTGAGTGCCACAGGGGTGGTCAGCCACTGGACACAGGTCTTTGAGGAAAAAGGTATCCCAGAGGCCCGGGAATCCAGTGAGTACATCGTGGCTCATGTTCTTGGAGCTAAAACAGTTAAGTGCCATGCTGGGGAGGATAGGGAGAGGGAGGAGGGGGGACTCCAGGGAACAGATGTTGAGTGATTTTTTTTGTTTGTTTGTTCTTTTTATTTTATTTGCCTCATTCAGGTGCTTAGTTGAGACTGTTAGGATTTTGCTGAACAAATGTTTCAGGCAGATACTTATTTGCTCATCTGAAAAACTATTATAGTACGTTCCAGCACTATAGGCTCAGGGATGATTAAGTGGCTAGTGTTTGAGTCCATTGTCCACACAAGACAGCAAGGGAACCATCCACTCACACTCTCCACGGGGACAGTTTCAGAGCCTGAAACCAGCACTTTGGACCAAGCCACTGACCCCTAGACAGCTGCAGTGGATCCAGGAACTGTGTAGCCATCGGTTACAGAGGTAAGCAACCATGGGCCGATGCGAGGACTCTGAGCTGGGAACAGAGACTCATCCTTCCCTAGCCCCACCAAATTATGGTCAGGGAGGAGTAAAGTGTCTAAGGACTAGAGCACTGTTGGGACGAGGAAGTGTCAAGAGAGGGTCTGGTATAGTAAATTTAAAGAAGGGACAGAGGGTAGGCCTAGACTGTGTCCTAGGGCATTGCAGACGGGACCCTGCCTTGACTACAGTAGTCTTCAGCTCAGCTCTGGCCTTATTAATCCTGGTTCTGTTACTGATGACTCCCTGGACACCCCTCTTGCAGGATGCCCGTGCAGTATATCCTTGGGGAGTGGGACTTCCAGGGGCTCACTCTGAAGATGGTACCCCCAGTGTTCATTCCTCGGCCAGAGACGGAAGTGAGTATATCCCTGAGACAGGTCAGGATGGAGATGAGAAAAGGTTCAAGGTATCTGTCTTGCCCCAGACTTCCTCCAGGGGGTGCTGGGGCCCCATGGCTGCCCTTCCCAGGGGCAGTGGCCCTTCCACACATGTCTTCTTGCTAGCTGAGCCATAATAGAGGACACCTCTTACCCTCTCCCTTTGACTCTCTTCACATTCCAAGACCCTGCCCCAGCTACAAGGACTGGAAGTGACATAGAATGTTCCAAGTAGTGTTGTCCCAGTGCTCAGCTCATTGTGGCCATTCCTTAGGAGCTACCGCATAGGCCCATGGCAGACTTGACACATGGGAAATAAATGGCCTCCAGCAACTTAGAGAGCAGGGGAGACGTAGAGGGCTCTAGCTGGGCACCTGGAGGCCTGGTCTGAACAGTGTGATTTTACAGGTGGTTGCTGCCTACTCTGGGCTCAGATAAGAGAGTGTTGGCCTCTCAGGCCAGGGTATCTGTGACTCAGTGGTCTGCTTACGTCTATTGTCTGGTCAGGTGACTGCTTGTGTCAGTCCTTCAGATTGCCAGAACTGGGGATTGTGTGGCCCAAGCGTGCTATCCCTTGGGGACATATCCTGGTCTAGGAAAGAAGTTTCTCTGTCCTTCTTAGATTTCCCCCCTTATTTTGTTGATGGCAGTGCTGGAGAGTGGACTCTGGCATGAAGTGGGGCTGCATAGTTAGGGGGTTCTGAGCAAAATCAGAGGGCTCTGATTACACTGTGGAAAAGATTATTTCTGGAAAGATACCTCGGCATATAGACGTACCTTTACCTTTACCAGCCAGGGTCTTTGAGGTGTCTGTCTTTTACCCTTTCAATCTCTGTCCCTTGGTCAAGAATTCTCTGATCTTTCTAGAGAGATGGCTCAGTGGCTAATAGTACTGACTGCTCTTCCAGAGGACCCAGGTTCAATTCCCAGCACCCACACACTGGTTTACAACCATCTGTAACTCAAGTCCCATGGAATCTGACATCCTCTTCTGGCCTCTGTGGACACTGCACGTCCACTATACATGGACGTACACACCGGAAAAATACTATGCACATTAAAAAAAAAAATTGCTGATCACCTGGCGTACTCCCTTATCATGTGATTGGGAGAGTGAATTTCACCTCATTCCCCAAAGTTGGGGCAAAACTACAGAAGTCTGAGGCCTTGAGAAGTCTCAGAGCTGTCAAGGAAGGGACCCAAGGGCTGCACCTGAACTTTCTGACTATCCTGTTTAGTGCTGACATAACCTTGGATGGGGTACAGACAGTCAAAAGCAGGGTGTGGCCTGTCGCCATCAGGCTTTTGGGGGGTTACCCTGCAGCCTCCTCCACATATATCACTTCTGGCCAGGAGATCACTTGCCATTCTTGGAGACTGTCAAGGCTCCGAACACACAGCAATCATGGTGGTATCCGCTGTGTGTTTTTGGATTCCGGGTGCTGGGTGTGAGCTCTCAGCTCCCGTGTGCCCCACCCATTTGGTGTGTCTGGGCCAGGAAGAGGAGGGGAAGAGTGAGGCTGCTGTGGTTGGGAGGCCAGGTCTGCCTCACTGTACAGACATTTCTGAGAACTCACCAGGTTCGCCCCAATGTGAAGCCACATCAGGCAGGTTTGCTTTACTAAGAAATCAAGAGGACGTGGCCTGTGGCAGAGAGTGGAGAGATCGGGTGTAGGGGAGGGGGTCACAGAGTCTGTATTCTCTATCCATCAAAGGATGGTTTTTGATGGTGGGTGTGAAAGTCTGAGATGCAAAATTGCAAGTGGCTTGTGGCCTGATGAGCTTGGTTTTCCCTGGGGGGTGAGAGGGTAAATGAGTCTCCTGTGTGGCAGTTACATACAGTAGGAAACTTAAGGCTGGGGTGTGAGCATTCCATCCCCATCTGGTGTGGTATGACTGTACGGGCTGTGAGAGGCTCAGTGCTGTAATTGTTTTAGGGAGGCGGTACACCTGACTAGGGTCAGCCCCCCAGGGATATGATCCTAACAGAGGATGTTCATAGGACATCCTTCTGAGACCCCAGGGCTACAGAAGGGTTATGCAGTCCTGTCTGAAGCAATGGCTCTAGGCAAAACCACCACTGCCCCTTCTCTGCCTCATATTTCTCTCCTTCTGTCACTCTATGTTTTGAATTCTTTCTGGATTCAGTTGGAACAGATGATCTGGGTCCATGACCAACATGACTCAGATCCTTCCCAAAGAGCCAATAGCTTTAGGTAGAGAGAAGGTCTTTACTGCATAGGAAAGAATTTTCTAGACTTCATGGATATAGTCTTAACATAGATAGTCCCCACATAGTCCTCAGATGGTCCTATGATCAAGTTGAGCTTTCCATGGTCTGTGGTAGAAGGGAAGGTAAGAGACCACTGGTGACAGTAGGGGCCCAGTCTGTCAGCCCTGCATGGATGGTGTGTGTGTCTGAGGTCAGGGATGCCTTTATGAGGTGGCTAGCCAGTGTGGGCTGACTAAGGGGTCATCCTCCAGCCAGAGTGGGCTGTTTGTGGCCAGGAAACCCAGAGAAACTCACACCCCTAGCATAGGCTGTCATTTGGCTGGCCTTTCAGCCTGTTGCCTCTACCGCAGTCTCTCAGTCACAGCCCTGGATTGCAAGCCGTTCACCAGTCATGAGCCCAGTTTGGTGCACACACGCCACTGCTCTCTACTCATTTCTGCCTGGCACAGGACTGATCCAAGCTCCCTCGCCTATAGACAGTAGCTTTGTAGTGCAGAAGTGGCTTGGAACAGGGAGGGCTGGTCCAGCTCTCCAACTCCTGCCTGCTTTGAACTTGTTACCTTTGGTGTGAATGAGCATTGCCACTGAGGTTGGGGCCCTAGGAAGACAAAATGGTTTTGGGGACTCAGCAGGACAAACTTGAAAGGGGGTTTGGATGATCTGGTACTGTTTGCTCCACTGGGCCTGGCTGATGGGTCAGACCCAAGGTCTCCTCATAATTTAATATGACAAGAGAGGCAAACTCTGTCCTAGATCTTCAAGTCAGGTTGAAGATATTTGGTTTTAGAGATGAAACTGGTCTTCGGAATGCAGATATTCTAAAGAGACAACTGAGTCCCTTAGTCTGTCAGACTATTGGAAACAGTGGACCCCAAAAAGTAGGGATTTCCTAAGACTAGTCAGAAGGGGAGCTTGTTTCCCACAGAGGGAACTCACACAGTCCTAACAACTTACAGATGAGACTGAAACCCAGACAATGATGAGTCAGTGGTAGGTGGGATCACACCTTGACCCGGACTGCTTAGACTTGGCTATCCTGGCCCACTATTTAATTTTTTATCTGACTTCAGGAATCTGAGATGGACTTGAGGGGTTTGCTGGATCTCTTTGTCCTCTCATTGTTACCACATTTAATATCTTTCCCTCCCTCCCTCTCCCTCCCTCCTTTCCTTTGCTTTCTTTTTTGCTTTCTACTTTTTTGTTTCGTTTTGTTTTTTGAGACAGAGTTTCTCTGTGTGGCCCTGGCTGTCCTGGAACTCACTCTGTAGAGCAGGCTGGTCTGGAATTCACAGAGATCTGACTGCCTCTGCCTCCTATGCACCACCACCACCCAGCTGCTTTCTACTTTTAATTTGACTCTTTTTATTGGTTTATTGAGGATAGGTGGCCAGGTCTGATTTGGGGCACAGTTTGGGACCTTTCAAGTCAACAGAGACACTCCACAGGGGCCAAGGAAGTCTTCCTTCAAAAGGCATTCACCTGCTGTACCCCCAGTTTCCAGAGCCTTGAATGGTCCCTCTGCCCAGATCCAGGGGTTTGTCTTTGAGAAGAGACTACATGGCCCTTCCCCTGCTGCATGCATGGATCCCCTGCTCTACTCTGGTTAGAAGCATTTCAGTGCTGGGACAACACCCTGTGTTGATTACCATTTACAGCCCCTGTAGGCGTCAGATGGTGGCATCAGCAGGCAGTGCCCTACACCCTCTTGCCTTTGTGCTGATGGAGTCTGAAAGTGTACTTTTGCTGCAGTAGCGGGCACCATCCCAACAGGCTCTTACCACACCTGTGCCCTTACCACATTCTGTCATTCTGTGTGTGCCACAGCTACCTGCAAGTAAGAGACTTGAGCAGAGGTGTGCCCCGTCCCATTAATGTAATTGCTTGTCCCTTTGGCCTAGGAGTCTTCTAGGAAATTCCCAAACTCATCCCTGTGAGAAAGCTGAGGACACACCAGCCACCCTGGTTTATTTTTTTTACCCCCATGGTTCTAGGGGGTGAAACCCAGGATCTTATATGCTGGGCAAGTGTTCTTCCTTTGCACTATATCCTCAGCTCCACAGTTCAGGCTCCAGATAAGGGCCTTGACTCTTGGGTGTTTCTTCATGAGCCAGTGGTGATGGTCTAGCAAATTAGTGCTCTAGAAGCAGGACTAGGCATAGAGGGATTGGCCATCAGATATGGTTCTCAGCATTGCTGTGAGTGTAAAAATGGGAAGATGTCTGGATGGCATAGCTGGGGTTCATTGTGCACAAACGCAGCAGATAAGGGATCAGTTATGTGATTCTGATTAATCTTTACTGTGTTCCTGAGGGGAGTGCTCCATTTTGCAGATGAGTAAGCTGAGGCAGGGACAGAATGACCCACCCGGAGTCCTTGCTGATGTCAAGATCACTTTGGCTTTGGCAGTCTCCCATCTGCCTTCACTAGGAGCCAGCTGCTTGGACCGCTTTGTTAAGGCTCCCCAGGAGCAAGAATGGCACCCAGTCTGATCCAGACCCTCTGCCTTCCAGGAACTGGTTGAATGGGTTTTAGAGGAAGTGGCCCAGAGGCCCCCTGCAGTGGGAACCAAAGGTGGTCCCCTCATTCTGGAGGTGGGCTGTGGATCAGGAGCCATTGCCCTCAGCCTTCTGAGTCAGCTCCCACAGGTAAGCCCCCCCACCCCTGCATCTCTCTACCCTGCCTTTACCTGACATTGAGAGAGTCACCCACTGGCCCTTTCTCCACGTCCTCTGCAGAAGCACTGAGGGAAAGTGGCCAGAACAGGAAGGTGCGCCCAGCACAGCATGGTGTCACCTCTGACTTCCATCCCTGTTGGTCTGGCTGGAACCTAACTATAGGAAAGCTTTGCTACAAGTTTCTTTCTTCTGGGGAGCTAGCTGAAGGTTCCCAGACAAACATTTCCCAGAGTTCCACCTCTTTTGCTTTGTTCTTGGGGCAGAGTCAAGTCATTGCTGTGGATAAGGAAGAAGCCGCTGTTAGCCTGACCCGTGAGAATGCTCAGAGGTATATGGGCTGGGAGGTCCAGAGAGCCAGCACTGGGGAGTTAGACTTTGGGACCTGAACTTGACCTTTATTCTAGTATCAAACCTAGTGTCTGACTTCCATTCTTGAGGGAGAGGTGCGATGAGGGTGGCCTGGCATGGGTCCCACGGGTTTATAAATGGATGGACTATGAGCTGTGTTGCTGATCTAAGAAGGGCTCACTTTCCCTCTTGATCCTCGTAGCCAAGGGCAACAGCTTGCATTCTGTGCTCACCACCACCTCCCCATCTCTCCAGGCTTCAGTTGCAGGACAGGATTCGGATCACTCGCCTTGATGTAACCTCAGGTACACCCCCTACTCGTCTTCTTGGGGTGGGTGTCCTGGATAGAAGGTTTGCTGGTGGGTGAGGCACTGCAGAAATGTGGTAAGGGTTCCCCAGTAACCATACCTGTGGGCCAGTGGGCCGTCTCAGAGCAGCCCTTGCTGAGGACAGACTGGGTGCTGTTGTTGTCATCTCCTCGGCTGATCTGACCCATGAAGGGACTAGCCACAAGGTCTTTCTGCTGGGGAGGGAGGTGTTGAGACAGGGTTTCTCTGTGTAGCCCCGGCTGTCTGTCTCTGCCTCCTGAGTGGTGCCAATAAAGGTACGTGCCGCCACTTCCCAGCCACAAAGTCTTTCTTCTCCTGGATCCCCTATAACTGATAAGTTTAACTAGTGTTTGTTTACTGGCAAGAGATTAAACAGATGTTCAAAGGAAAGCAGTTCAGAGCCAGCTGTGAGGGCCTCCACCTGTTACCTTAGCAATGGGGATGCAGGAGGACTCCTGTGAATTCAACATAGTGAGTTCTAGACCAGCTTGTGATACAAAGTAAAACATCTCAAAAAACAAAAACAAAAATCAAACAAAATAGCAACAACAAAGAAAGAAAACTTGGATGTGAGGGCGATTTGGCCCCGACATCTGTCACCCCATTGATCGCCAGGGTTGATTCGGCTGATCTGGCTGGCTAGGCGGGTGTCCCCTTCCTCCCCACTCGGTCGAAGAGGACGACCTTCCCCGAATAGAGGAGGACTGGTCTTCCGTCAAGGGTATACGAGTAGCTGCACTCCCCTGCTAGAACCTCCAAACAAGCTCTCAAAGAAAGAAAACTTTAGGGCCTAAATACATATTTATCTCTCTCTGCCTCCACCAGGCTATGCCAGGCTTGTGGCAGGCTTTGCAGTATCCTCAGGTTTCCAGCTCCAGTGCTGATCCTTCTATTAGCCATGGAATCCCCGGGCTTTATGTTAGTGTGATGCACCCGGTTTTGCATCTGGTACAAGTGGGACCCAGACAACAGCCATAAGGGTTGGCTGCGGGCGGCCTGTCCTCCCTATGCTTTGAGATTATATTGATTATAAAGCAGAGAGTGGGAAGCCCTTCCTCTGCCTGTGTAATCAGGGAGGGCTTACTGGAGGTGGCACTTGAATATTGCTTAATGAGGAGGTCTTGACAGAAGCAGAGAAAACATGGGCATGCTAGGTGAAGGGCTGCACGTCAGAACATGTCCACTCCTGGCCAGTCTGCTAAGTGGGGACTCTGGCTACTCATCTTCAAGTCTGACCAGGTCTAAAGACAGGCCCTCAATATGACTTGAGGACAGTGACTACCTAAGGGACAAGGTGGCAGGTAGAGCTACCAACTTTTCCTTCTCAGTAGACCAGTTCGTTCTATGTGTCCTCTTTGCCCACAGAAGGGTGCTGGACACGCCTTTTGCCCTGGGGCCCTGTGGACTTGGTGGTCAGTAACCCTCCCTACATCTTCCACAAGGACATGGAACAACTGGCCCCAGAGATTTGCAGGTACAGGGTAGGTGGGCGTGGCAGAGAAGCTTTAGTAGGATTGGCCTGGGCTAGAAGACTCCATCTGGAGAAAACAGGGGGGCCCAGGGGGACAGCAGGGTTAAAGAGGCACACTTTAGAGCTTGCTGCCTTACTGGGACCATTTTCAGCTTTGCACTTCTGACTCCTGGAGACCCCTAGCCTCCCTGAGTCTCCATTTCCTGCTTTGAAAGAGGAATGGTAGTGCTTGCAGGACCATGGGAAGGACTTGGCATCCGGCATAGCGAGACCTAATAGAAGGCACTCGTAGAGGGATGTGTCATTTTACACCAGACCAAGGCCGGGAGAGGGAGGGTGCCCTGTCTAAGGTCCCGTGAGGATTTCATGGAAAAGCCAGCACTGAAACCTCTGGTTGTGGAAAAACCATCCTACATTTATAAGGATGGGAAACTCAGGGTAACCATGTGTCCCTACATAAGCACTGGTGACACAGGGTGGGTGCTGGAGCCTCTTTTCTGGGCTCAAAGAAGTAGTCAGGATTGGGTTTTAAATGTCCTCAGATCAAGAGCAGGAACAGCTAGGTTCTGAGGGCACCTCATGCCCTGAGGGCTGTCTGTCAGTGGGACTCAGCAAGTCCATTTAGCCCTGCCCTATGGGGGAAAGTAAAACCTGTTATCTGTTTAGGAACCATTTGCTAATGGATCCTCCCTCAGCTTACCTGTCAACCCAGAGTCTTCAGTCCCACTGGGCCCTTTGTGAAGGCCTGCTTGGCCACCCCAGGCTCTTACCTGCCATGCTTTCCGTTCAGTTATGAAGACCTGGTGGCCCTGGATGGTGGTGAGGAAGGCATGGACATCATTACCCACATCTTGACCTTGGCGCCCCGGCTTCTGAATGCCTCTGGGTATGGATCCTGGCCTCCTCCACTTCCATTGTGTAATTGGCATGCCTTGGCATCGCCGTGCCCCTGCCTCTTGCAGGCCAGACAGTGTAGAAGCACAGGTCCCCTGGCCCTCCCTCATTGAGCTGACCCCTTTCTCCTCCATGTAGAAGCATCTTCTTAGAAGTGGACACAAGGCACCCAGAGCTTGTCAGCAGCTGGCTTCAGAGTCAGCCTGACTTGCACCTTAGTCTTGCGGCTGTCCGGAAAGACTTCTGTGGGAGGTAAAACTACAGTTCCCGTAGCCATGCCACTCCCATGCTCCACACCACTTGTGCACTCCTTAGAGCTTAGATGGCACCCAGATACTCATCCTGTCTCCCCAGGCCCCGGTTCCTGCACATCCAGAAGTCTGCACCATAGTGTGGCTACTCTGAGCAGCTGGCCAGGATTCTAGCCTGCTGGATGCCCTGCTGATCCTGCACGGAGCACTGTTCTCAGGGAGCTTTTCAGAACCCAGGCATGGCCCATGGTTCTGTGATTTCCCCTTGATGGATGTTTCTAGGAGACTTGGAAACAAAGATGGAGTGTTCTTCCTGGAGCAGCAAAGAACAGAAAGGCAAGAGCTGGCTTTCCAGCCTAGCTCTTTCCCCTCAGTGTCGCAGGCTACTTGGTGTTCCTGTTGGTGAAACTGCTGTGAAGATGCTGGGAAATGTGGCCAGTATAGCACTGAGAGAACAATAAATGGTAAACCAGTGTTTTGTTATCAGCGTCTGTGAGCCCTTGTCTCCATGTAGGATTAAGCCTGAGAGCCTCCTCCTACTCCAAGTCAAGCAGACTGTCTGTGGTGAGGGTGGGACCCCGTGTAAGGATAGTACGTGCAGAGGGGTAGGGATGTGAGGCTTAGTCCTGGCCTTGGATACCATAGGGCTGCACAGAATAGCTCATTCTTTGGGTTAGCACCATCCACCTCCAGCCTGGGTATGCCTACATACCCTTCCTTGACTGGGCCTAGGCTGAGATTGGGGGCCGTATCTGAGGGTGGAGTTGAGGGTCTCCGACACGTGTCAAGGTGGGAGCTTCACCCCGGCCGCTGGCATCCACATGCCAAAGAGTCTAGAATGTTATGGTGGAAGCCCCACCTCCCCATCTCCCTCCAAACCCTGCTGCATCTCAGAAAGCCTGCCAAATGGTGACCCCCTCCCCCACAGATGCTCAAGACCATCACCACAGGGTATTTAAACTGTCCCCCAGAAAATAGACTTGTGGTTTAACGGTTTCTCTTTCCCGTCTCCTCTCTGGGGGGCTGGGAGGCCATCTGGGAGCACTGTACCCATTAAATGTGGGCTTTTTAATTCAGTTTGATTTGGTCTGATTTGGATTGCTGCATCAGCAGAGAGGCTTATCACTTTTCAACATGATCCTGGGATTGCATGCCCACACTCGTATAAGTGAAGGTTTGAGACAGCAGGGTGGGAAAACAACCTCAGGACTTGTATTTGCTTTTATTGACCATCTTTCCAAATGTGGAAATTCAAATTTGGAGTTCAAATAGCCCACATATGTCTCCCTGGTTGGTGCATCCAACCAAGCCTGAGCACTGAATTGTGACCTTCACCCCAGCTCTGGGCAGAGTCACAGCCACCAGGAGGCCTAAAGACCACTACTGTCAATAGCAGCAGGAAACTGTTTAGAGGTGAGTGTTGATGCAAGACTGCATCTGGGTAGTTCTTCAAGCGTGTCGAAGACAAAGCGCGTTCATTCTACCTGTCTCCCCAGCATTTGCAAGGGCCTGACCTAAGGTGCAGCAGCCAGAGGCAGTGTGCTCTGGAAGGCAATAGCTCTGCCAGAGCCAAGACAGCTGAGTTCCAGGTCCAGTCTTGGAGTTGGACCTCAGTCATCTCCTTTCTCTATGAGATGTGGACTCTTCTGGGTCCAGGAGCAGGACAGGAAATAGCTTCATTCTATTCTAGTCCAGACCAGCAAAGTATCACATGCAGGCTGGCCTCTAAATGCCCACGGTCCAGGCAGGAGGGTCAAGGTGTTAAGAGCAGGCCTGCCTGAAGTCCCATGATACAAGTTGAGAACACAAGTCAGGCGCTCGCCTTCTAGGAGTCTATTTCTGGACTTCACCCTGCGTAAGTGATGTCTGCTGCTGTGGTTAAAGGGTATATTTGTGTTGGCAGAGACCATACTGCAGGTTTCAGAGCCCCCGCATCTGGCCCTGGTGACTTAGCCTCAAGCTATCTCTGGCTTCCTTTGAAGGTGGGAGCCTGGGCTTTCCCTCATGGCTGTTCCAGAAAGAACCTGAGTAGGTAACATCGGGTGTGACCGGAGCAAGGTTCCTCACCTCCTGAGCTTCCTGCGCCACTTGCCCCTTGTTTGCCAAAGCCTATGCGGATATTGCCATCTTTCTCTTGCCTTTGCCCTTTGGCTCTGGCTGTCTCAGACATCAGGCTGCCCTGACCTCGCAGCCTTGTGTTGCCCTCTTGTCTCACAGCGTGGGTTATACTCAGTCAGTGCTGAGTTCCCTGATGGTTTTCCTTCCTGGCCTCAGGCCTGTTTCTGAGGTAAGGCCTTGGAGAGCCTGCGGGTATGGCACCCAAGAGAGTACAGTGGTGGAGAATGACAGTGGAGGGCCAGTTGGGGTCATTGGAGCAAGAGCCACCCTTGGGACAACTTCCTTCCCAGAAAAATGCGGGGCTTGACTCCACTGGGATAAAAGTCCAAGCCAAGTAGAGTGGCAAGGCAGGGCCTGCAGACTATAGCCACTTGCTTAATTGGGCTAGACATTGAGTTGCCATGCTGGAGCCATACCAACCTAGGTTCTAGAGTCTGCCCCTTACCAGGATGTGACCTTGGGCAGATGGCTTCATCTTATTCAGCTTAGGCCTCCAAACCTTGGGAAACGGGGCCAAAGTACTTTACCATAAAGATGGTTGTGAGGTTTTCTTGGTACATTATGGGTGTTTCTGTTGCCTTGAGGACAGACAGGGGAAAGTCGTGCACCCTGCTAGGTCAGCTCAGCACCAGCATGAGGCAGGCAGAGACACGGCAGTCAGCAAAGGAAAGATGGCAGGATTTTAGTCCTGGAGATGGAGCCAGCAGGAGCAGCCTCCTCCCCCCTCACTGATTCTCTCCACCAGGACCTGAGTACCCAAGGCCCATGGCAGCCAGGCGCTCCACTCTGGAAAAGCTAAGCTCTCGTGCCCTGTCTTCTTCTTTCTCCTGATGCTAGTGCCAGAAGCTTGGCACAAGTCAAGAAGTCCCTTGGGGAAAGTGCAGGAGGATGTGGTGCAAACGGTGTCACCCAGGCTCTGCAGGCTCCACAGGCCCTGACCTGGGAGAGCAGCTCTGTCCCCTCCAGCAGGTGGAGAAACGATGGTCTTGCCTCACAGCTGGATGATTTTTGTAGCTTCCAATGGGTTATTCCATGCGTCTTATTAAAATGTGTCCCCAGCTGTAAGAAATATGCCCTTTTCTTCCATGGACCCTGGGCATCTGTTCCCAATCTCTGTTCCAAGCCTTGACTGGATCCCCAGGACCTAAGTGTGGTCTCTGTGTCCTACAGAGTGCTGTCTCAAGAGGTGGGGGAGGACAGCTCTGAGAAAGGCCCCATGATACCCCTCCCTCACCCGGGAAGTAAGGTTCTGTCAGGGTAAAGGGTTCCCCCACTGATGGATCTGAGAACTTCTGGGCTGAAGTGGTAAGCCCTTCAATCTCTGCAGGTCGGCCCCATCTTTCCCTATCCACCTTCAGATTCTTTACTGCCCTGGACCTCAGCTACCCTGGGGTACCCTCCCCCCGAACACCTTCTCCTTGCCCCGGCAGTGCATCCTTCTGGAATACCCTTGCCCGTCACTGCCAATCCATGTCACACCTGCCTTGACTTTGTGTTCTAGCCTTCCCCTACCCACATCTCTGGCCCTGAATTCAGAAACTTTCTAGTGTCATCCCGGGAACCCCTATGACACTGGCACATTCAGGTTTAGTAAATGTCCATCAATAAGCTGACCCCATATCCATTTTCTATACTTGAGACTAGAACTTCCTGAGTGGCCCACATCTGACCTGACTATAGCACTCACGGATTCCAGTCAGTAGGGAGAGGAAACCGTGAGGTCTGGCTTCCTGCCTGAGCCAGGCAGCTGTTCAAGTTGAGCCATAATCTCTTTGAGGGCTCCAGTGCACCTGATCCCCACCCCACAGCAGACCAGGAGAACAGGCTGTCCTTGGCGGCAGCAGGAGCAGGCGCCAGGCTTCCTGGAGCTCTAGGCCTTAAGCAGGCCCCAGTCAAGGTGGTAGATATGGTGGTGGCCTGATCTCTCTTCATGAACTCTATGCCCTGAACAAGACCCTGGGTTTGAGACAAAGCATGCGTGACAGGGGCAAAGGCCTCAATCACCATCTTATGTTTGAGACAGGGCCTTTCACTGACCTGGACCACACTGATTACACAGCCCCAGGGCTCCTGCCTGCATCCTCCCAATGCTGGGGTAACAGACGTGTGCAGCCATGCCTAGCTTTGGCATAGATGCTGGGGATCCTAACCCAGGCCCACGAGTTTGTGCCGCAGGTAGTTTGCCGACAGATCCTTCTTCCCAGACTTGTGATTTTTTAAAAAAGATTTTATTTACTTATCATGTATACAACATTCTGCTTCCGTGTATATCTGCACACCAGAAGAGGGCACCAGATCTCATTACAGATGGTTGTGAGCCACCATGTGGTTGCTGGGAATTGAACTCAGGACATCTGGAAGAGCAGTCAGTGCTCTTAATATCTGAGCCATCTCTCCAGACCCCCAGACTTGTGATTAAAGATCTGTTTTGTTGTGGTTGTTGCTGTTTTGTTTTTTGTTTTTTGACACAGGGTTTCTCTGTTTAATAGCCCTAGCTGTCCTGGAACTAGCTCTGTAGACCAGGCTGGTCTAGAACTCACAGAGATCTGCCTGCCTCTGCCTCCCGAGTTCTGGGATTAAAGACTGAGCCACCACTGCCCGACTGTGACTAAAGACCTTGAGAAGGAAAAGTTGTTCAGGTAAACACAGTATGATCACAGGTGACTATAGGAAGGGGACAGGGGTGTCGAAAGTGAGAGGAAGCAGAGGTCAGTGTGGTGTAATTACAGGAGGAAGGAGCCATGAGCCAAGGAATGCAAACAGCTTCTTCCCTAGAGACTCAGGAAAGAATGCAACCCCCACCCACATGTTCGGTTAAGCACGGTGGAACTAATTTTGGATTTCTAACCTCTAGAATTATACAGTGTAGTAGTGTGTATTAAGTTACAAAATCTGTGGTAGTCTTTTACACTTGATAATACAGACCTTGATGTTCCATGGTGCTTGGGTTAGTCACTTTTTTCTTTTTTTTTTTTTAAATGTTTTTTTATTACACTTATTTGTGTGTGTGTGTGTGTGTGTGTGTGTGTGTGTGTGTGTGTGTGTCCATCCATTCCACAGCATGTTAATGGACGTCAGAGGAAAACTTGTAGGAATCGCTTTCCACTGTGTGTGTCCTGGGAATTAAACTTTGTTCTTCAGGCTTACCCTTAAGTACCTTTACCCAGAGTTACCCTAACTGGCCTGTCACTTTATTTACATTCTTGTGGCAAAATCTCTTACAAGGAGGAAAGATTAGTTTGGCTCATTGTTTCAGCCCAGGATTGGCTGGCTCTGTCGGGCATGTGACAAGGTAGAAAGATGGCAGAGGAAAGGTCCTCACCTCATGGCAGCCAGGAAGCAAAGAGAGAAAAGGGTCCCTGTTATTCTTT